TAAAACCATTTAAATGGATCATCCTGTTCTGTTTGTCCCAGGAGAACAGAAAAAAGGCCCAGAAGATGGTCATCCATGTTCTTCACACACCAGCTATGGAAAAGGGTAGAGAGCACCTTCCCACTGACACAGCTCCTGGCTGGAAGGGAAATGCTGTCACCAGTGTGTCACAGAAAGGGAAATGAGGCACAGAGCAATTTTAAATAACTCGCCCAAGGTCACAGGAAGCTTAGAGCAAAGCAAGTAATTGAACTCAGCACTTGTGCGTTCCTGGTCTAGTTCGTTATCAGAAATCACCCCTTAATGGGTCACCTTTAATCAGAAACCCTCCCATTTTGCACTGCCAAGAGATTACACTGAATTATACGGGCACATGGAATCATTACGAGTTTCCCTTCCAGCCCAACATGTTCAAAGGGCTGTTTTGGAAATAAAATAAAACCTGTAGCATGCTTGGTGTGCTGGAACAGACAACCCCCCAGTGCTGCAGACAGCTGAACCACCAAAGTGCTCACAAGGCTCCAGATCAAGCTGGCAGATAAGAAGGGGTGTTTTTTCTCTGCAGTGAATCACTTTGTTTTGAAGGGTGGCCTCCAGTGAGTGAGGACTCACCATTTCACCTTGCATTTGTATCCTCATTCATAAATACCTCTGATGAAACAGAATATTGCAGCCTGAGCACAGAGCCAGAGATTCAAAAGCCTCTCCTTTGAGAGGAGAGGGCCATCAGTGAACCTGATGGGGCCATCAGTGTGTGTTGCTACAAAACAACCAAAAGGACTTTACCCAGGCTTTCACAGGCCACGGGCACAGTTGTTTTCCTTTCTTTAGGAAGGGAAAACATCTCTCAGCATTCCCCAGTCCATTCAGAGGCCAGACACAGCCTTTGCTGGAGCATTCCATGCCCCAGGGCACCTTTGCCAGGCAGGGATGGTTGGAGGCATCTTGGCAGCATCCAGCCTGGCTGCTCCTGGGAGTCTCCCTCCCCACATACCCCGATGCCTTCCAGGAGGACAGCTCACCTTGCCCAGAGGACCAGCAGAGCCCAGGCTGCAGAACCACCGCACATCCCGAACCCCGCTGACCTCCGGCACGGGGAGAAGAGGAACAGCAAACCCAAACCTCCTGACACAGGATGACCACACAACAGACAATCAAACCACATCTGTGGCTATCTGCAGCACTCAGATCATTTTCAGCTGATGACAAATAGTGAAAGTGTTGGGCAATAGGTTTGGAAAGGGCCACACAGAATGGAATTTGCCTTTCATGAAATACAATGCAGGGGGAGTCAAAACTGCTAGTGTGGGTCCAGCCAAGAAGTTCATATAGCATTTAGGCATCCAGTGGCCTCATCTTTCTGAGTACAAGCAATTTAATTTGTCACACTGATAGTGTATACATGTCCTGAGCAAACAGGCCAGTAAGGAAGAGGAGTAGCAAGGGAGGGATGAGGCAAAGGGATGCAAAGGCAATCAGAAAACTGCATCTGAGCAGCAAGTTGGGAACCTTTAGTTACACATACGGACCAGGGAGACAGGAAAATGAGAGGTAAGAGAGGCTTCACAGTTCTGTGCTCAGGGCTATGGCCACCTGCCTGGGGAATGAGGAGCACTATTCAGAGCTAACCCCCAACCATCACCTTCCTAAGGAGCACCAACACCACAGGCTTAACAGGAAGAGAGAAGAAAAGAAAACAGAGAGAACCTCACCTCCACAAAGACTGTTACAGAAGAAAGACGCCAAGCACTACATGGCTCAAGGACAACTCTGCTTTGCAAACCCTTTGAGTGGGGAATTCTTTACTTTGTGCTCTGCTGCAGATTTGCTCCTCAGAAAAATTTCTCTCTGGGTCTGGAAATCAAAATCTATCTTTCCCCCATCTGCTCTTCACTGGCAGAGCAGAGGCTCTGGGTGGAATGGTGATGGCAGCTGAATGAGTGGGATAGCCCTGTCCCAGCCCACTCTGCTTTAAGACTACTCACCAGAAGACCTTCCTGCCACTCCACACCACCAGACCACAAACCCCAGCGAGGAGCACGTCCGATGCTGCAGCTGGGACCAGAGGCTTCGTGCCGAGCACCCAGTCTTGTGAAAGCACTATGTTTCTCTCACCATGGGTCCTGTCTTTCCTGTCACCACCAGATCAGGATGAACCCCTCAGTCGTCTGCAAGAACCAGCTCAGCAGAAGCACCTCCAGAGGGTTATTAGCAACAAGACCAAACTAGCAGCTGCGGGCCTCCAGATCCTTGGGCCCTAAACACAAGGCTGAAGAGGCATGATATCAACTATGTCAAAAATTTGCTTGCTTTGAAATCCTACTCCTGCTTATTTATGTTACAGGAGTACCCAGAGGCCTCAGCCAAGCCCTGCAGAGCCGGGGCTGGAGAAGTGCATTTGCACATGGAATGGCCGTAGAATCACAGAATGGTTTGGGGTTGGAATGGGCCTTAAAGATCATCTAGTCCAACCCCCCTGCTGTGGGCAGGGACATGTTCCACTAGCCCAGGTTGCACAAAGCCCTGTATCTCCCCGTGGAGCTCCTGCCCCGTGACCAGCCACAAGCAGCTCGCAGTTTTCAACAGAAATAACTCACAGCCAGGTTTGGAGGCGAGGAGGGGCAGCAGTGAGGTGGGCAGGTTACAGCAGAGATCCAGCACAAGGAACCAAGCCAGCAGTCAGGCATTTTGGACACCATTTGGACATCCTGGGGCTTCTCTAGTGCTCCCACGGCAGAGTTAAAATCTGCCTCCAGCAGCCAAAACACCCTGAGGAAAATGCTGCACACTGAGCTGTGCAAACCCCCACAAGGATGTAGAAAAGGCTGTTAACCTATTCAGACAGGTCTGAGATTGATTCGTAGGAAGGATGAAATCAAGAGGTAAAAATAACATTTCCAACACACTACTGACATACCGAGCCCTTAATCCAAGGGACTATTTCCAGGCCAAGAGCATTCCTCACTGCTCTTACCTTCAGCTGCAAGGTCTGGGCCAGCAGCTGCTTTGGAGGAGCCTGTCTGAGGGTAACAGGCAGCCCAGGAACAGCCAAACCTGAGAACTGGGATTTGCAGGAAGAGAAGATAAATAATTGAAGGGACAACTGAGCACAGCTTGCTACACCTCGCTCCACAATCCAAGAGATGAAAGTGGAAAAAGCAAAACATTTTCTCCCCGAATTCATTCAACTCCAATTTTGCTAATTCAAAGTCTTCTACTTGCTTTACCATGCACATATTCACTTCCCAGATACACTGCTAGGAATAGGGTCTTGTAAATAAAGTTTACAAAATAGGAAGGTTAACACACAACATATTTTTCCCATTACTTCAATATATCCTGCGAGCTCTGCAAGCTTGGTAAAGAAAGAGTCTATTTAAAAATCCAGGGTGGGGAAGAATTAGCTCACCAAAACCATAAACAGATTTGCTTTGCACTTTCAGTCCAAGGGAAAAACAAGACAGGCCATGCGTGTATTGATGCACACAATAGCACAATCGTTTTAAAAACAAATGAATTGGGAGGGAGAGGACACCAGAGGAGGGTGGCGGGGGGGGGGGAAGAGGAGTGGACAGAAAAAGGCCAAATCCTAGAGCAGAGATCCTCAGTTTGGTTCTCAAAGCTCCCTCAGAAGGTTTTGGAAAGCCACGTGGGCCAGCACAGGACCGTGAGGGGTGGCACACTTTGCTACAAGGCCACGATCCATACCTAGTGCCAGCCCTTCAGCAACCAACAACCTGATTTTCTGCAGATGGAACACAAAGGAATCCTTCCCACTTACCAGGGACCTTCCACATGCATTATTACTGTCTTTCAGTGGCAGATACCAAGGGATATAAAATTTAATTCCCTCCTCTCTACTCTCCCTCCCAAGACAACCTGATTCTGTTTATGAAGGCAGAGTGAAGCTACAAAAGCTTCACCCTCTTCCTCATGCTGAATTCTCCATCTGTAAGAGTCAGACAACCCAGAGAGCCACGGTGTTCACTGCATTTGCACAGTCACTGACACCAGGCACTGAGGACCCACCCAGATGCAATTAACTGAGGGAACTTCAAGGAGGACACCCCTCGGGGGGCTGAGGGTGCACGTGGATCCCACCGCACCACGTGCTGCAGCAGGGTCCCTCAGTTTATTCCTACCAGTTGAACAGGCTGCATTTAGGCTGCAGAACTGGAAGTATGTCAGGAAAGCTGCAGCAAACAGCATCAGTCCAGTCACCGTATTCCCAACGCTGATTATTTAATAAAGTCTAGAAACATGCAGTCTCCAGATGTGGCACATCAGAAGCTGGGTAGAAATCACTCCAGGGTTTGAAAACCCCCATTTCCACAGAGACACTGTCGTTTATCACAGCCATGAATTGGGTGAACAAAGTCCCCGCCAGCCTGCTCACTAAAGCTCAGCTTTAGAGCTTCGTTTCGTACAAATAAAATGGTTTGGCTCTGCTGTGAGACCCAATTTCTTCTTCAAAAGTCTGGAACAGCATAATGGAAAACTGGAGTGTTATTTCCAAGCACACTTCTTCCATCCACAGAAGCCAAGGGGAAAAAGCACCGCTCTCCTGACCCCTCATCCACACCATGGGACAGGTGGACATTCAGTAAGTTATTCTTAGGGCTTCTGAGGGGTGGGGAAATAAAATAAATCAGTGACTAGCACACAGACAGAGGAGTCCCAGCCAGGAGAAGAGTACAAACACAAAGGACATCTGAACCCTGTTCTGTCTAAGGAGTGATGTTCAGAAGCAAAAATAAAAATTGCCCCCTTCTCAGGGACACCTGGAAGCACAACCCAAGACCTGTTCCAGCATCAGAGCAGTGCCAGGCTCAAGGTAACAGAGCCAACCACTGCATGATCACCTCCTTCAGCCATCAGGTCCCGACAGCCCACACAGGAGAGCCCTGGGATACACTGGAATAACCACATTTCTCTGCCCATGCTGCACAGGACAGAAAGGTGCACAGTCCACACGACACACGGAGCCCGCGGTGACCCACCTGCAGGAGGGGCCACGTCCTCAGCCCGTCCTTCTCCAGCTCCTCCTCTGCGCTCACCCGCATCTTTAAAGTGCCTGCAGTCGCCTCAGCTGTGCTGGGATTCAGGGCTGGAAGAGAAGACATTAAACTAAGAATTACTGCCGCACCTCCACAGGAGAAGCTTAGCAAAGGCTAAAAGTAAAAATAAGACACTGATCATTTCAAGGTGTCTCCCAGCCCATGCCATCCACCCCGCTGTGCTCCCGTGGTACATCCTCACTGCAGCACCCCAAACACCCATCTTTGGTTATTTTTCCCCACTCCATTAGCAAAGACATTATTTATCAGACGTTAACCCTGTCTGCTGAATTAATCACCAGGCACTCAAGCATGCTACTCTCAACCCAGTAAAAGTAACCTCCCTCCCAGCTGTGGTGTGCTGGAAACCAGTGACCGCCGCTGTCCGTCTGTCACTGCTCGTGGCTTTGGTCCTCTACAGGGCTGGAAACCTCAACTGGCCAGAACATATTTAGAGCAGCAATCACAGCACCCTGACTGTCACTGCCACATCCAGCAGCTATATATAACCTGCAGCTCTGCTCACAGCTGTGGCCTTCCTTTCTCCCCTTCGTTTTCCCCCGCTGCCATCCAGTCCCTGTTCCCTCACTCCTGGAGAAGCAGCAGAGCCAGCCCCATGTATTTCATAATTTCTAAATTTTACTGTCTAAAGAGATAACCAGCCAAGTGGATTTCTGGGATTAAGTTCAGACCAGGGAAGAAAACAGCATACTGAAAAACAGTCACCCTGGAAAAAGGTAAGCCAGTGCTTGTAACAAGGATGAAAAATAGGAAAATTATGTTGTGATTGCCCAAGTAAAGGAAAATTTATGCCTGTTTGCTGTTCCTGCCTGAGCATGGGCAGTGACAGGTTCTCCTCTCCCAGCAGCATGTCCCAAACATCCCTGCCCACAGCAGAGGGACCGGGACTAGATGATCTTTAAGGTCTCTTCCAGCACAAACCATTCTGTGATTCTATGAAATGTCCCTGTGCTTCAGCCAGCGTGCGCTCCAGTCTCTGAATTCTCTGCCAGAGCCCAGTGATCCTCTTCTCAGGTTAGATCCTGCTGACCAGGCACTTTGCACACAACTGCTGAACTTCTTGGACTAAAATAAATAAGTGGCATGGAGAGATTTCACCAAATTACCAGCACAGATGCATCACAACTCAGGGAGGTGCTCCCCAAACCCATCCAAAATCCTGCAGACAAGAAGTTTCCACTCTGGCTGTAATCACACAGACCAAACCCAGCAGGACTTGTAAAGAAAAGAGAATAATAAAAAAAAAGGCAAAGGAATTGGATGGGGTAGAAGTACACAAAGGTTTCCCCTTGCTGAGCACTCAGGTGTCCCAATGCTCCCTGCTGCAGAGCCACACTTGGACAAAGCTTCCCCCAGACCTGCAGTGCTGGCTGCTCTATGTTATTTTCTATAAATTATTTGCTGTATATTATTTTCCTAAATTAATTCACGGCAAAAGCAAAGCGAGCCCAGAACTGGGGAAAAAAATGAGCTCCAAGTCTGGCAAATCACAAGAGTTGAGAGAACAAGAAAAAATGCTTCAAATGCCTGCTAGATGCCACAGCTTTTTCTTTTTTCCTCGCTTTTCTTTTTTTCCTCCCCTAAAATGAAGGGAAGGCTTATCCCTCACCAATTAGGTTTCAGCACACTTGGAAAGATCCCAGCATTGAACGCCGAGACCTTGACACAACAGGTGACAACCTTTGCTATGCCAGAAAAAGTTTAACATATAATAAGAAACAAATACTAGACTGCTGATGGAGTGGGTTTTTATTCCAGCAATTGGTGTAAATGTCCTGTATCAACTTGCACAATGCAATGACCTCCTAAACGGAGCGATAACAGCATGGCCCCGCTGCTTATCTGCCGTTCCTCCTTCTCTAACACTGCTGCTCCTCTCCCTCTGCTATGGTATCCTTCACACGTTCCTTTAGGGATTCAACATATGCCTAAGACTTTAACAAACAAGATTTTGTGTTCCTTGGAATACGTAAATTAAAGAGTGACCTCGATCACAGCAGTCTGAGCAGCTTCGTGCTTCTAGAAATTAAAGGTGGCTTAAATAGAAACTTAAGCTGGAGGCAGAGAAAAATCTGAGTCTCCCAAAACCTTTTTCTGAAATATGGAGTAAAGCCCCTGCAAATTTGGCACCATGAGCCATGATTACCCTGGCAGCTCCTCCTTGAATTCCCTGGAACTGCTGCTTCAAGTAGAATAACACAGAGCTGGGGCGAGGGAGCAGGGATTGGGGCTTCCTCAGAGCAGCACATGCAGACAGCTCAGCTGCTTATCACTGAAACTGGAGCAGCAGCAAGGACAACCAAGGTATGTTTTTTTTCCCTGACTTCTTTCCGATATTAAAATCCCAGCATCAGCCAGCCAAGATTCACTCAGGTCCTTGTGTCTCAGTTATTTCCACTGTCTGCCGGAGCCAGCGACCATCACTACCACCCCACTGCTGCCCTCACGGCTTCCTCAGGCTTACTGAGCAGCTCAAAACCTGCAGACAGCCCCAGAATGGAGAATATCTTCCCCAAATACCAGACTCCACACAGAATAAGTCATCTTGCTATATCTGGGGGTTTAACCCCGTAACAACCAAACCAGCCAGGCCAGTGGGCTCGTGGAAAGGGAAGAACACCAGCCTCGGGCAGCACTCCTGTGCAGGATCCACTGAGGAGCTGAACATTTCAGAGTCAAATCCACTGCAAAGGCTCAAAAATACAGATTATTCTATTTTCCTTTCACCTGGTAACCCCACCTCAGATTTTTTTTTTTTAACGGATGTTAGCTCTCTTTTGGGATTTATTATTTTTTTATGTCACTGAAAAGAGAACTAGGTTGTCCCAGAACAAAGCCTCCTTGCTGAGCAAAGCCTGGTTCAACCTGAGACCTGCACAAGCAGACATGGCAGCCTCTGAAACATGGCCTGAGATTTCACACCCTGTTTGGGAATCAATAGCACAGATCCACTCCCTGCTCTTGACTATAAAATGATTGTTCCCTACAGAGAAAAAAAAAAAAAGGAAGTTGGCATTAAACTGGCATCTTTAATGACTCTTGGGAAGAAAACATGTGCAGAGGATGCTGCAGAACATGGTTCTGACCTGCAAAAATGCACATGGAAGAAACTTCTCAGACATGTTGAGACCTTCCGACACTGCCCAGCAAAGACTCTCCAGGCCTGCAGCCTCCACTGCCTGTGGGACACTGATTTTAAAAGGTTCCCATTACCAAAGTACAATTAAAGGACTATTAAGGGACATCCCCCTCTCTGTCTCTTCCAGCTCAAGTGAACCAGTGTCCAGGAAAAGCTGTGCCATCCAGACAGGCAAGTCATACAATTTAACGTCCATAACATTCAATTTTAGAAGCAAAGAGCATAAAATATTTCTAGACAACATCTGCTTTCGTAGACAGGCATGCAAACTTACAGTATGTTTAGTCACTTCAGTCTTTTCAAGTGCTTGAAAATTTAAGCCCCAGAACATAATTTCTCATCTCTTGCTTATTTTAGACTGAAAACAACCCTCTCATCACTCCAGGGCAGCACTGTAGGGAGGGAGAACAGGACAGCAGCGAGACAACTCCCACTGTGGGAGAATAAACTGCACCTTCCCTGTGCAAGAATGACCAACAAGAAATATTAAAAAGATATTTCCAAGCCATTTTAACTTCCAAGAACTGATGCTCAACAAGCTTTTCAGACTATCAAACTCTGCTGTTACTTTTAGGGAAAGTATTGCCCCAATTTTGCCCAATATTTAATCCGAGCTTTTTTCCCTACAATTTTAGGACAATGACCTCTTGCTCTACCTACTGTGAATGCAGAAAGCAACCACCACCACCTTCCCTTTTAGGCACCTGAAGATGTATTTCCTGCCTCCCTCTTCTCCTATCTAGAGTCAAACAGCTCAGGTTTGTTCTCACCAGGGGTTTCTAGCCCTCCAGTCAATCTCCTTACAACTCTCTGGGTCTCCTCCAGTGAAACTCTTCTCCTCTCTCCTGCCAGATCCAGAAGAGTACACCTTCCCCCATCCTTCTGCATTATGCTGTTCCTGATGCTGATGTTTATTTTCAGCTGAGTTTTATGTCCAGTCTCCAAGAATTTACAAGCAGATGGAGATGCCATCCAATCCACGTCTACAGTAATCATTTTTTCCATTGGAAAGAGAAGGAGTTATAGAATATTCTCGTTAAGCTAAAAATTCCTATTGCAGAGTTTTAAAAATTTCAAATCCTGTTCAGGTTGGACTTTTAAAAAAACATGTATATATGGCATGGAGCATTAAAGCTCAGCAAAGGACAGCCAGCTTCTCATCCAGGAAAAGGAAACAACAGATTCCCACTCCTCTCGTTTTCACGTCACTGCCCAAAGGATGCTCCAAGGACCACGGCGGGACACAAATGGCTAAATTTTACTATCTATTATTTGAGAGCAGAAATCATCACTTTGTTCCATGTTTTATTCGAGGCCTGACAGGGCTCTGATCATCCGTGTGATTATCCAGCTCGCTGAAACAGAAGAGCACTGGCTTCCCTTTCATCCAAAAATCCCAAGCCTACAGCAGGACGTGGGAAGCCGCGGCTCCAGCTCCGTTCCTGCACTGCCTGGAGGCTTTGGCATCTTTAGCTCCAGCTCCTGCTGTGAGCTGGGATATTCTGGGATGGGGAACTCTGTCAGTCCCCCGGGATCTGCTTTCCATGCCGAATAACATATTTAAACAGTCAATACATTCAGTAACACAGCTGAACAGTTCCTCTGCCCTTACCTCCAGCCTCTCCCAGCTGCAATTACTGGTCCCATTCACACACAGTTTGTGGAAGCAAGGAGATAATAAAAGCAAAAATAAGTTTTTTCCAAAAAAAAATTCCCTTTGACAGGCAGCCCTGCCATTAACTCAGGGATAAAAAAAGCCTGGGAGCCAGCAGTGACAATGCTATTATAATACAAATTATTAATATGAGAGACCTCATTGCTCTCAGCTTCCACATGCAGCTTGGCAAAAGCCAAAGATTCTTATTTTTTTCTGGGTGCACAGACCTTGCA